ATTCTATACAGGGGCGAATCCAGATGTCCGAAAAAGGGGGTGGGGGTGGCGAAAGGGCGACCGATCGTGAGACAACTCTACCTGTAGTAGGGGGTACAGGGTATGCCCCACGATTTTTTTGCTTTCCAGACGCCCGGCGATTAACAATTTTTTTTAAGGGGCGTGCGCGGGCCGGCAGCATTCCCCCACCCAATCCCCTGCTATCATCGGAAAAGGTCCACATTGTACTGAATTTAATGAATATTAACTTGTTATTTTTTAGAAATAAATATAAAAGGGAGTCTAAAATCTATATTTTAAACAGCAGTCTATGGTAATCGCATTGCAATGACAGTTTCAATTAATCCAACTTAAAGTATATTGTGCAAAACACAAATAATATAACTATAAATCTAATAAATATTTCACCTTCGTAATTTTATGTTTTTGTAACATCTCAATGTTATTTTCTGTAATAAAGATTAAAAAGGAGCCTTAAATCTTTACATTTTAGGACACAGAAAAATTTATTTAATTATCACTCTTTAAAAAAAAAAAAAAAAAGGTGATAAGGGGCCGGCAATTTTTTTTTTTTCAATCGGAACAATAGAATATTGCTTTTTAATGGTGAGGGAGGGACTGTTTTTATTTGGCAAGAATATTGTAAATATTGTATAAAAACACTTTTAATTTTAGTGTTTTTTTAGAGAAAATGTATTTCTAGTCACGAAATTGCATTGTTTTTTTAAGTTGTTTAAATAAATGATGCGGCAAATAAAAATTTTTTTATTCCCTGAACAATATTTCCCAAATTTGTAATGCAGGCTGGAGTGATAATCTAACAATTTTTCTATGTGCCAACAGCAATCTATCTTTTGGCCAGTATTTCACATACAGTAGTTGGTCCATCTTTGCACACCACTCTCCTTATCCCCACGGCAATCTTGGTTATGGCCCTGCTGGCCGTGTCCACTAGGAAAATGCCCAAAGCATTCTCCTGCAGCATGTACATGATGGATTTCATCACCATTTTGAAGGATTTTGAGGCAAAAAAGCCGGAGTGGTTTGGTTGATCAAAAACTGGGTTTCACTGAACTATATTACCCCTGGTTATGGGCCTCTGATAAATGTTTGTACTGTACTGTACTGTAGGCTTATATATATATATATATAATTTACTGCATTATTAAGTAATTGTTACATGTAGTTTAATTTGCATTAAAACTTGTACCCAGGAATGAATGCACACAAACAGCACAATTTTTTGGGGAAGGGGTAGACAATTTTAATAGACTTCACTATATAAAAAAAAAACCATCTCCATATAAGAACAAAAAAATGCAACATTTATTTTTTGAAACAATTGAGTATCATAGCATAGCAAGTATGTTAGCAGAAGTGTATTAATGAACATTCATTCATCAACCTATTTAACATGTCATTGCTATTGACAGTTTCAGTAATTTAACTTAAATTATATTGTGCAAAACACAAATAACGTAAGTATATAACAATGTATGGAAACATCTAATAAATCTTTCCCCTTCGTAAATTCTTTTTAATATGTTTTTGGTATCAATAACACATTTACACATAATCTCAGCAATATTACTATCAGTTTACACAGAGTGTTAAGTCACACAAATCAGGAACCAGTCACCTCGCCCCCTTGATAAGAGCGAGTTTGCTAGAGGGCGAGTTGACTCGAATCCCACAAACTTAACACCTTGAGGCGTAAATACAGGTATACATATAAGAACTTGAATAACATGAGTATAGGGCATTTGCAATACACATCACAGTTGTGAGATTAGCAAATAGAAGCAAAAATTCATGGCAATTAATACACTGTTTACAAATAATATGCAAAACAAAATTCACATTAATAAAAATTTTAATAATTGTTCTTTAACTTTGTAGCTAGGACCCACTTAAATATGGTTCACACAGGAGCAATATGTTGATGCAAATGCCAGCAACATTACTAGCAAAGTAGAATTGGCAGTGTGAACTAACCATTAATGTCAAAGTGAATGCACCACTACCGATGATTAATGTTAGTATTACGATTTAAAATGAAATATTAGTAAAAATTTCTTTATATTCTTTATTCGTTTGAAAAGTACAAATGTATTAAAATCCATTTGATTCGAACAATAAATTAAATACATGAAAGGGGGTTGTATTTCAACGGATACAAATAAGCAAGATATAATACTTGTGTCATACAGATAAAAACTTAAATCTATCTAAGAATATCTAAGAATATGTAACCCCTGGTAAATCAAAACCAAAATTGCACCATAATTTTCCAACTATAGAAGAAAATATAACCCCAAAAAAAAAAATTAATATATATAAAAAAAAACATTGGATGTGACACTATATAATGTCTATATGTTAATGTAGCAACTATTAAATCTAAATAATGTCGGGGTTGATACATAAGGCAAAACAGGATGGAGACAAACCTTAAACATGACTTCAATCAAACACTCCTCGTCTATAATATTTCGAGTGTACTAAGTAGATTCTCACTTTTGAATAAACATATAATATACCTAATGCATCAGTAAGTCAATAATAAACCTGCATTTGTTCTTAGTGTAATGCATGTATTGCAATGAATGTGATTCAATTTCGTACAGTGAAAACTCAATATAGTTTACCATCATTGCATGGAATACAACTATAATAATTGCTTACTGGTGCATACCACTCCTAGTTGTACACCACCTACATTTATTGCTGCACACCATTTGCAATTTAAGGGTTGAAACCACCTACACATACACAGGTGTAGACCAACGCAACTTCCAACACCTTTTCTTCAATATTGTTGTTTTCTGATATATTTGTCACAAATTGGCATTTCCATAATTAGAAAATGATTAATTACACCTTGGAATGCAAACAGCCTTAAAGGCATTAATACTAGGAAATCAATGCCACCAAGTTTTCATTAATGCTGGTTGTGTTCCATCATAACAATAATGACAACACTTGTTAAGAATTTGAAACCCACAAACAGTTCAGTATGCCATGCAGAAGGGGGAACATATGGGAGGAACTTACGCAAGTCCAGTATTTTCAAAACACATTTACAATGCCATTTAATAATAATAAATATCAAGCTCAAAACTGTACAATATCTCAGTACATAATCAATTCTAAACACTTACATTTTTCTTAAATTTCATATTTTTCCATTTATTATTTTAAGTTCATATTTGTCTATATTAACTGCACAATTATTGTATTTGTATTGTGATCGTCAGGAAACATTATTTATTAAGCATGCCAGGGTTTTAATGAAGTATTGTACTTGTATATTGGCTGTTCAATGGTTTACTCTACACTATATCAATCTAACCAAAACAAATTCTACCTACTACAGTGTGATGTTAGTCAATCATGATTTATATACGAGATCTGACTGCAGAAAGTCTTATATAAGAACACACAGATTATCTGAAATCAACAATATCCTAATTGTGGTATAAAGAAAACAGAAGCCTTGGTAAGAAGTTCCTTTTGGTTAGTTTAACACAACCGCATTTTAAGACCGCTATTCATGTATCATAGTTGAATATGCCATGTGTTTTCACCGACGATTCCTGGCAACACTGCTGCATGTTATTCAACGTCTCCAATAAGCCAGTAGACAAATGATGTTGAAACTAACAGCATCCACCACCGGATTGTTGTCCTCCACCGCCGGCAGGTAACGCTGGATTTGTAGGCGAATGCTGTGGTCCGAGTTTGATTCCGTTAGCCTACAAAAATAAAATGCCACAAAAATTTACAAAATTTTCAGTAATAATTACCAGTCAATATTTCAATGTTTCAGTTAAACATTCCTGAATTACACGAAATTAATTAGTTTATCGACTCATTGTTTATAAAGCATAAAATGAGTAACATGTCATATTTTGTTTATAGCCACTTCTCAGGCAATTGCCTTCTTCCTTTTGATTTTGTTCTTTTGTCTCATAAATACATTAATATACATGCTTTTTGTGTACTGCTATTTGTCTGCAACTGGAGGAAAATAAATGTCTTTTTTAACTGAACTGATTTGAATTGTGGAACATTATTAGTGCTACATCATTGGATCATCCATACCTCATTATTAATATCGAACACTCCTTCCTGGATTTTCTGGTAGATCTCCTTTGCTGTGTTGATAAAAGCCTCTTCAACATTGGCAGCCGTTTTTGCTGATGTCTCCATGAATATCAATCCATGTTCCCTAGCAAATGCTTCCCCTTCTTCCCTCTTCACATCCCGCCTGGCTTCCAAGTCACTAAGAGAAGGAACATTGGGATTTTAATTTGCTCATCTAAGCAGAAATGATTGGATATTCTATTGTGATTTTTACATATTCATTGATTTCATGTAGTTAAATGGAATTTTTAATTGACCTGTAGTTAAATAAAATTCTTTTAATAATGAAAGCATCTGTAAAGTGGATCTCACAGTGTTTAGTTTTATTAGGACAGTAGTCCAATTTTTTATATTTTTTTTTTATTTGGGACAATCTGTCAAATGTATATATATATATGCTATGTGATACCAATTTACTTCTTTTCATCTTTGAATCTGTAAATTTCTACAATGTGTTGTTTTATTAAAAAGGAATTGTTGTTTATGCTAACTGACAATCGTTGGCCTAGTTTAATACCAATGAAATCAATTCCAACTGCATTACAATAAAAATACTGCTATGTCCTTGACCGTTACTGAAATTACTGCACATAAAAATATTTATTTATAAATGAATAAGGTCCAGTTAATTGTAGAATGGTTGGATTACCTCTTGTTGCCAATTAGCATAATGACCATATTTGAGCTGGAATGTTGTCGTGCATCCTCTAACCAAGTCGTCAGGTGATTGAAAGTGTCTCTCCTGAATAATTCAACAAATTAAATATCATTAATCTTCATAAATGTCAAAACATACAGAATTTTCATACTTATCATTTAAGACTGTAGTATACATGACTGCATTTCTTTCTCTTCTTTTAACTTACAGTTTTCTCTCTCCTACTGTAGCTTTATCATTAACAATACAAACCAACTAATTTAAATTCAAAATGTATAATATAGTTCATTTTAATACATAAGGTCATATTTAGAAATAATGTTTCTAAATGCTAACTACTATGGATAGTCATACAGTCATTATTTTTGGTTTTAAAATTAGATTTCATCAGAAGGTGTATGATCCGTATGCTATCAAGATAAGGGATCAACTTTGTCTGGTTCAGGGATTGTCTCAAATGCCTCCAAGTTGTAAAAAATATTCTCTAGTCAAAAGTACTTTGAAGTCAAATTTCTTGTTTTATTCATTATCCATAAAATCAGAGCCTTAGGCTGAGTGAATATTCAAATAGATATTAAAAAGAAATTGACTATAATTCATAGCAATCATCAATCATCTTTTGAGAAGTATGCATGAATTTCATATATTATATAAAGTCCATTTTAACACCATATTTAGAGTACTGTACATGAGCCTGGTATTAAATAAAACTTTTATTTGACAAAAACATGCGACATGCCACAACACACTTTAAGTTCTAATTTTTATTTTTAATAATAACTTCTAATTCTGCATTCAAACATTGCATTTTATTATTCAGGTATATTAGCTAAACTCAGACAGGATATTTCAATGTTTGGAATAGTAAACCCACCTTGTTATGTCATAGACTAGCAAAGCACCCGCAGCTCCTCTGTAGTAAGACCTTGTGATAGAACGGAATGACTCCTGACCAGCCTAAAACCACATGACAATCCAAATTTTAAATCGATCAAAATAGATTATTATCTAAAAATCCTGACTTTAAATGCTCACAACATAAAAATACAGTACTATCAAGCAACAGCTGCTAATACTGATAATGCTAATTTCAATGCACAGCAGATGATGCGTAATGACTCTGTTAAAGCATGTTAACAAATTACTTCTAATATTCGTATAGAATTATATGATAAGCAGACATTAGCAGAATGCTGACTCAGTGAAGCTATGAAGTTTTTGAATACTGGCAATATAGGGACTACTATGTAAATGTTACATCTCTGATGACATCAAATAATTAGGATTGTTGCTTTATTCATTAAATAGTATGTCAACAGAATTTTTGAAAAATGTTCACACAGTGGCTACATTAGCTTAGGTTGACTAGCTAAGCAGGCATTCTCAAATGTGACCCAAGCTCACAAACAGGCTGTAAACTCGCACAGCACTGTATTGAGAAACAAGCCTCAATAGCCAGAACATGCCATAAAATATGAATTTCGTGTAAATTGGGTTTTTGTGTAATAAATAAAGTATAATTATTAATCTTACTATTCCTGAAGTTTGAGTTTAAAATTCAAACTGTAAAAGGCAAAATTTAGCCATTTTCAAATGGGAATTAGTGAAAATGAATAGGAAATTGCCAAAAGTAAAAGCATTTTTCTCAAAACTTGATTTAAGAAAGTTGAGAAATTATTCAAACGGTCATAACTTTGCTTCCAGACACCTGATTGAGTTCATTTAACTGTCATTTTAAAGTAAATGATATGTTCTATGCCATTATAACAAAAACTCATTTTGGCTTGAGGACGAGTTTACAGCCTGTTTGTGAGCTTGGGTCCCAAATGCTTAGTGCCTGCATACAATTAACTATAACAACTATGTACAGTAACTTTATTTCAAATTGGTAATACTATAGTCAAATTAACTATAGCAAAAACATAAGGAATTACTGTAGGAATCCTTTTTCAAAATTCAAAATTCAAAGCATGTGTTTGAGTAAAAGAAACATACCGGTATTTAAAAAGTTAAATATTAGCCACAATCAATCACTGTTTATACATTATCATTAAAAAAAAAATATATAAGGCTGGTAGTACAGTATGACCATGTGGGTACCTTGGCTAGGCCTATATCTTATGAAATGTACAGTTAACAATAACAGAAGTAACAGAGTAAATGTGAGGACTCGCCACAAATGAGTCTCATGGTTACAAATTCAAAAATTGAGTTTATATTATATTTGGGTAGATCATTATAAGCTTTCATTTGGTCTTTGAATGGCTTCCCTATTATAAGTAAATAAAGAGATGCGAGCATTTAAAGTTTAGGTGTATAAGAACCACGTTTTGAGAAAATCGGCCTCAAAGATAAACTAACCTGTACAAATAATATGACTAGAATTTTAAAATATGTGCAGAGAACACTGTTTTGGCAAGAAAATTCACTTACAAAGTATACAATCATAAAATATAAGTATCAAGTTATTCAAAAAACATTAAAATCAAAATTTTGTAAAAATGTTGATTTTGGCCTGTTTTGGTGAATATCTCAATATGATTTCACCAACGATGCGTCTCATTTCGTGGTGTGATCTCACAAAGGATCTCTCAAATATAAACGCCGCTCACCAATAAGTCAGTGCCTTAACAAATTCTAAGCAATGCTGTACTTACTGGGATATTTATATAGATTAGCATCATTTACCCATACACTGAAAATGTCTTTCATATTCTTAAATCATACTACATAGAGTACTGTATTATATTATTATTGTTTTGCTTGTTACTTGACTGTGAAAACATATTGTACTTTTTATATTAATTATAAAGCAATTTGTGTGCATTATGCACAAGAATCCACAATAAGGCCAGATATTGCTGAAGTACACAAATCAATAATTAATGGAATTATTAATATTATGAGCTGTAGGAACTCATTGCCATGGATACTGAATTAAAATATTTCTGAAATGTCTACGATAGACTAAATGTATGAATATGCAACCATCGTAAATAATTTGGCTTTAATCCAAAGGTCAGTATCAGCGTACCACAATCAGTTAGAATGCATAGTGTAATAACTGTAACCAGTTGCAATAATCAACACCATAGTATTAATTAGTAATACAGTTGAATGTACGCTTGATTAGAAGGGAACTGTGACATGTATAACTGGATGAGCATAGGTAATTGTTTGTTAAATGGAGTAATACTTACTGTATCCCAAATCTGTAGCTTGATTTGTTTCCCATCAATGTTTATCATTCGTGCACCAAATTCTACACCTGTTTGTAAAGAATATTTTTTAAATACATCGATGAGGATTAAGTACACACACTAATTCTAAATAGTTTGTCGGCAAATTTTCAGAATAAACAGAATAATTTAGTTTGGTTATTTTTCTGGCATTTAAGTAACATTTTTAAGCAATATTCTATAAATTTTATTGAAATACCAAATGATGAGATAATAAAATTATGTTTGAATGATTATTAAGCAATTTTATATGTATTATGTTTACAGTATGTTGCATTGTATAGTATCTACGGTAAAGTAACAACTAGGTCTGCAATAATTAGGCTATTCAAAAAAGGCTATTAGTGGGTATTATGCCGTACCACTCAACATGGTAAACAGGTTGGATGTGAATCTTACATGACTGACATGACACAATTATACTGTAGAATGTGCTGTATACTAGTAAATTCTGAAAACCACATTCACATTTAACTGCAAATTTTACTGTAATTTTACAAAGGCAAGGTCTCTATGCTCCACATATTGATTAATAAAAACATTTTAAGTTTGATAATTTGTAATGATAAAAAATAAATAATATTTTATGTCAGCTCAGTACAGCATATCAGCATTGCATTACTTTCACTGTTTTCAGTGCTTGAGTACGTCACATGATTCTGAGCATTCTTTAGTGAGAACAATAATTTCCCTTTTAAAGATCACATGAAACTCCAGGTCAGGCATCTAACAGAGGTCAGATGCTCTCTGCATTAACTACTATATGTAAAATTACTATTAACTTTCTTCTGATATTGATAATACAAATTATACATGTACTACATTACATCATTGTACATGAACTATACATTAGTTATGTTTTCTTTTTAGATACTGCTAAATTTTAATCATTCTCTAGTTGATAACTGATCTACAGAACCACACAAATATTTAATTCTGTTGGGAATCATCTTCCATGAATATAATACACTAAGAATTTTGTATTTCACTGTATTCAGTAACATTAACACTTGCATGTCTACATGAAGACATTTGTTAAATGATTTTCATTGTAGAATGAACTATGTCAAAGCCTAAATTTTAATGTCTTTCATAAAATGTTATTAATCATATCTTAATGAACCTGTATAAACTGCCATGGCTTTAGGCTAAGGTACTGGAGCGATACTCAGGAAGCACCACACCAGCACTCCCAATAGGAGGTAATAGGAACATTGTCTGTAAAGATGGTAAACCAACAACAGGATAAAAAAACTCCCTATAAGCCACTGTATTCTCCCTTCTTGCCAATAAAATATGTACAATACTGTCTAATAAGTATTAGATACTGACTGTGTATTATTGATTTCAGGTACTAAACACTAAAGCGTCCTACCTAATAAACATACACTTCAAATGTTTTTAAAGGTTTAGCATTTCAAATTATATTTATAATCAATGTTAATCAGTCAATTAGAGAAAATCAAATTAAACTTTATTTTTTTGTTTTAATCTGATGACTTTGGTCATGTTCATCAGCCACAATTTAATTTCCATGTTTAGAAATATCCCCTGCCTGTATTCTACAGTAAGGACTATCCACTTTTTCACATACAAAGACATGCTAGGTTGAAGGGGGAAACAATGCACATTACTCCTTGATAGTCTCATAATGACATCAATCGTATTACTGTATGTTGTCTTTTACCATTTCAGAGGAAATTTTATTTTTGTACTTTTTTCACAATAATGAACAAAATAGATGGATGGCACATAGAGGAATATTAAAACTTGTACATTTTTTAGATATTACTGAAAATTAAAATTGAATTTTACTGTTTCATTTAGTAAAATGATGATCAGTTTCTAAATGTGTAATCCTTTGCACCTGAATAGTCCACACAGTATAAACACACTTGTCTACAGTCTAATTTCATTATTATTATTTAATATTCACTGAGAAATAAACTCCTAGTACTACAAAATAGGGCAGCAAAAATAATAACTCGAAAGTCCAGATACGATTCCAGTTCACAGGCACCAAGAGACTTAAATTGGCCAAATGTAGAAAAAAAAACAGTATAATGAAGCTGTAACAATTTTTAAGATAATGAATAATTTACCAACATCCTACTTAAGAAACCGGTTTCATGAACGTGAACATGAAACAAGGTCAAATGACATTTTACGCTTACATCTGGAATAACCTAAATAATTTAAATAATTTTGCAACTACTGCTCCTAATATTTATACTTTTAAAAGACTAATTTATATAACTGACAGGATTAAATATTTTAAATAATGAACAAAAAACTTTAAACTGTTCTACATTGTCATGCCATTAATTTTTAGTCTTTATAATGTTAAAATTTTACTTTTCTTTCCTCAGTATGTATTTCAATATGTATGTATGTGTTTTTTATATTTAATTTAAGTTTCTTCATTTCATTTTTATCTTTTTGCAAAAATGGCCTTGTGAAAAACACCAATATGGTGATACAGTACAAGTTTTCTCTGTTTTAAATTAAAGTTGTTATTATTATTATTATTATTATTATTATTATTATTATTATTGTAGTATTTAAGTAATGAATACACATACTGTACTATTAAGTTCATTAATATAAATTAATCTAATGATGTTGAATACATTTAATTAAAAATACCCATCATAAATTCAATATATTCTTCTATTAATATTATCCAATACAAAAAATATTTACAATGATAAAAAATTCTATTTTAGATAAGAGGTTAAAAAAATGCTTCATAATTATCATTTTAATTCTATTAATATATTTTTTCATTTATACTTTAAAAATTTATAGTTTTGCAAATGACCAAATCTCAAGACAAACATTACAAACGCTAAATTATGCTTGTGTGTGTGAAATTCATAATGCATGGCTAGGCCTGAATAATCCCAAAATTGCTAGTCTCATTATGAGATGAACAAAAGCAAGGGCAGCAGAAGTACATTGTTAGATAACGAGTAAGCTAATTTGTAGGCTATCATCAGCTGCCAGTCTTCACACAGGGCTTTTGACACACACACTCTATACTGCACCAAATGTTTCTAGTTTTTAGGGTTTTTTTTCTCACCTATTGTTAGATCATGGACTGGCTGAAATCTCTTGTCTGTGAACTGTAGTAGTAGACATGACTTGCCAACACCTGTAGTGCCAAAAAGAAAAGAAAAAGGCAACATTAATGACAAATAAATGTACAAGGTTGGGTGGGTGTCACAGTCATTATGACGAATAAACAAGAAAGCAATGGAGCTTATAAAAAGGGACCAGTGAGAATGGCCCTGGGGAAAATGCAAATTGCTACCTTTTCTGAATTTTGATTTTTTTGTATTTTAAATAAAAAATTAAAATTAAAAGGAAAAGAAAAGAAAAGTTTTTTAAATTTTTATGATGCCTGCCTCTGCCTTGAAATCTCCAAAACTAAGATATTTCTCCCTAATTACATAAACTTATTATACATGGCCTACAAAAATGTTCAAAATTTACCAAATGCATTAATTTGCTACAAAAATGCATTAATAGGCTCAATTATATTTTTACATTGATTAATATAAACAGAACAATGTTGTTGGGAACCACATAAATGTAAAACATTGAAGTTTTAACCATCCCATTACTACACTTTTCATATTTAAAAATAAAGTTTTACTTTTATGTTCTCCTCCATCTAGATGTTTTGGCAAAACCATTTGCTAAATAAGAAAAACATTCTTTTTCGGCCCTCCTCTGATGAAGATCTTTAAGAAAATAAATTTGCGGAACAAGGTACAGTAAAAAAAAAAAGTCTCGTCTGACAGTGATATATGGCCTAAAGTTCAAAGTTCACCAAATGCATTAATTGCTACAAAAATGTGTAATACAGTATACTTTACTATATATTTTTTATATGTACTGATTAACAAAAAAACAATGATGTTGGGAACCAGCTTAATGGAGGAGAACATAAAAGTAAAACTTTATTTTTAAATATAAAAAGTGTAGTAATGGGATGGTTGAAACTTCAATGCTTTACATTAAAAAGGTACAGTAAAAAAAAAGTCTCGTCTGACAGTAATATGTGGCCTAACGTTCAAAGTTTACCAAATGAATTAATTGCTACAAAAATGTGTAATACAGTATATTTTACTATATATTTTTTATATGTATTGATTAATAAAAAAAAACAATGATGTTGGGAACCAGCTTAATAATTAACATTCTACTGAATTTGATAGTTTGTCAATAATGTGAACTTCAGTAGTACTGGTACTGTACTAGTTCAGAAATTGTTTTGGTTTGACAGATGTTTAAATGACTTTGACTAAATTGTATATTTTACTTTATTGTGTGATTTACATAAACTGCACTCACTTTTAAATATCTATTATTGCCAGAATTATGTAAAATTGTTGTCTTTTATGCAAGATTGTTCTTGATGATCACTGTTTTATGAGTCTATATTTACAACTTGTACTGTTAGCCTGGGTCTGAATTTTTATCTCATTCTCTGTAATAACATTTTTAAAACATAAATAAGCCTTATAATATACTTTAACCAATTAAGAAAAAGTGAGAAAAAGAATCCCAGTAAAACATGGTGTCGCCGTATTTTGAAAGTTGGATGTATCAGTATTTCTGTTTTATGAAGTGGTTTAATAAGCATGCTTGTATGTAGTACTATAGTGTTGTTTTAAACATGTACAGTATAGCCTTGAAATTGGTTAATTGAATATTCCCTGCAGCTCAGACTACAGGCTACAGCACTTCTCATTCACTGAGTTACGGGTTTATTAATGTGTTCTGTGTTTACAACAAAAAAAAGTATTTTAATACCATTTTGTCCTTCTTGACCTGCCAACTTGATTCTTGTTTTTCTGTGCTTGCCTGACTTACAAGTGTATATATAAATATATGCTCACTGTTCAGTACTAGTAGTAGGCCCCAGCCAGGCCTAGAGCCTAACTAAGGAGACCTACCTAGGCTAGCTAACAAGAACAGCTTACGGCCTAACCCTCTCTATCTACATAGGCCTAGAGCCTATCTGGTCCTGTAGGCCTACCTAGGCATAGGGAGGCTAGGATAACTAAAAACTAGGCCTAGGCCTCCTAGTAGTAGTTAGGCCTAAATAAACAAAAATGCCAGCATATTTTGGAAAATTATTATTAGTTTTCAAATAAATCCAAATCCGCCACAGATTTCTACTTAATCAGTATGCAAACAGTGTATATTTAGATTAGCTTCTTGCATGTATGTTCCGTGCGCTTAGGTAGGTGTCAACTAGAAAGCGTAAATGCTAGGCTAGCCTAAAAAACGACAGGCAATCGGTTCACGATGCTAAGAAGGCGTAGCTCATCCATTCGAGGCAAGTGAACGATGATGAGTTCATGTGACAGGCTTAGAAAAATGGTAATAAACAACCTAGTTTTTATCTACAATTTACGAAAAAATGTCTGCTGAAATATGAAGTGTGCATCTTTCCTTACCTGTGTCCCCAATAATGATATATTTAAATAGATACGCGTACGACATTTTAGGTACTTTTTAAAATAAGAATCCTTAATCCTCCTCGAAAAATCCACGTACGAAAAGTCTCTCTCCTCTTATCTGAATATGACGTCATACTAGATTTGCATTGTGGGTACTTTATAAAGTACAAACTAAAGCCCATGGATGGAAAAAGTATATAAAGCTTTTGTTAATTTTTTTATTGTCACATATTCTACTCTACATGTTCATGTGGTCATATATTATATAAAAAGCTTTACTTTTATTCTATAATTTATATGTGGTTGTGTATATGTGTATATAATCTCATTCGTAACTTATAGCATTCATTTTTAAAAGACGCCCCGTTTGCCCTACATGACATGTACAAATTTTGGAAGGAAGCTTATCTCGAAACCTCGGATAGAAGACACTTATCAAAGGGCTTCTTTTCGAGAATTTGCGTTATCAACTCTCCAACAACCTATATTGTACACAAGGGCGCAGATCTGTTTTGAAAGGTGTGGGAATGGTGGGGTGGGGGGTGCATTCAGTAGGACCAGACACACCAGCTCAACCATGGTTGGGGCTGCAGTGCAAAAAATTGAGGAAATAGTATTCTCTAGATGGAAATGGAAATGGAAATGACACTAGTATTCATCATCATCACATCACCCTTAAGCCTAGTCAAAATCAAGCGCCAGCAAATTTCTCATTTTTTATCAGCAATTTTCGGCAAACATATATTTAATAATATCTGTGATGTAGGCCCTACCATAGTAAATTAACTTTTAAAACATTTTCTTTGATGTATTTACTTTACCTACTTCAAACAGTGAGTCCAGATCAACCTCAACTCTATCATGGCTGGGGCTGTGGAGTGAAATTTGAGAAAATGGTACCTCTACATGGCCCGAAATGACACTCTTATAATTACAGTAAAATTCATCATCATCACATCACCAAAAGTCAAAAATGAAGTGCCAACAAATTTCTCATGATCTTTTATCAGCGATTTTCGGCAGTAAGAGATAATTCGCACCTCAGCTCCAACCATGTTGGGGCTAAGATGGGTATCGACCCACGGCTTAAATTAGGTAGTAAAGTACATACATTAGGCATAGAGACAATTTGTTTTTACGTTTCATTTTCAATGGACATCACACAGTTTTCAATAGTACATCACATACATTGTATAAACAATCTGTGTGATGTACCATTGAAAATGAAAACACATTGTCTCTGATGTAGCCTATGTACTTTACTACCTATAACTTTAAAGCCGTGGGTCAACACCCATCTTTTAGCCCCAACATGGTTGGGGCTGAAATGCGAAAATTCGGGTAAAAATAATACCTCTGGCCGGAAAAACACTTTTAATTTTAATAAAATTCATCATCATCCTAAATTTGAACCCAGATCCGCACCTGTACTTTATACGGTGTTAAAAATAATAAATAACACAATGAAGACACAAGTACCGTTTTTCTTCATTTCTTTAACGTGTATTTACGATGACGTTGGACCAATGTTAGCCTACCGTACTACGGGAATACGTGAGATAGGTAACATGGGAACGGGCATGAATAGCGCCACGCCAATATTGTTTTATATGCGCCGCTCTCTCGAATAAGCGCAGCACGGAAGCCTCCAAAAATTTGATAAGCGCCGCGGCGCTTATTCGAGCATTTACGGTAATTTTCTTTGATGTATTTTACTTTACTTTACCAACTTTATGTGCCGAAAACCAATCTTATCTTTACACGCTTTTTTCCTCATACTCTCACATTATAGTAAATGCACGCGCACTCAAGATGTATCTGGCTGCAGGCTCTTTCATAACCTGGGTCATTTATGCAGTTCATTTAAAGAATTTTCAGGCATCTTTCTGAAATCACATTGCCGCCGAAAAGTGGGGGTACCAACTCCCCCTTAAGGATGTGTGGGTACATGTCTCCCCGTCCCCATGGTCTGCGCCCATGACTGTACATGAAGGAGTAACGCATAGTGCAGACATTTAATATTACAGAATAACTGATAAGAAAACGAACAATGACATTTTTTTCTTTATTTAGTAACACATCATCAACAATAATGCTGGAATAAGATCAATATTTATTTGCCCAAATTCATGAATTAAGAAGAAATTAATAAAAAAATTTAAAACAGCAATTACTTATTCTTGGCCGATCAAGTTTTTAGGAAGTTACTATTATTAATATTATTACAATATTATTATTAATTGTTGTTTTTGTAGTTGTTGTTACTGTTATTTTATAGTCTTTGTTATGCGATTAGATGCGATTTAAAATATTCATTTTTATTAGTTTTAATCATTCAGAAATATTTGGTTTAACAATCTTTTTTAATCAAAATAGTACAATTGGATTGTATATAATTTCAAAAATTAGCATACATTCTGATTATAATAGACATAACATAAAGATACTGTGTAAAATAAATGTATGGAAATCAACAGGGAATCTCGCATGCCCATCCCAATAATACGATTACCCTTACCCTTACATGGAAGGACAAAGTGACCCTTTCCCGAGTCTCAATCTAACCAATCAGAACATGCCCCACAAACGTTACGTAACCGTGCCTTCACGCTGTCGTATAGCAACAACATTCAAGGGTCGGAGCTTAGCGTAACCGTCCATTGCGCGAGCGTGTTGCACGTGTCTTTCGTACAACAACGACGTTTGTATACGACATGTAAAGCCTAAACCCTTCTATAAAGTTTTGATATTTAAAGTTGATTTTTGTTGGCCGACATTAAATAACAGCAATCTGAATGAATTTATTTTCTTCTATAAAGTTTCATCTGATCGACGTCACATAGTTCAGGAATGGATTCTTTATTTTGTTACCCCAACGGATTGAGACGGCTCAGAAATGGTACTTTGACTGTTGTCATTACTTTGTGATGCACAGTTGGTTGAATGTTCCAGTTTGTAACGTTGGTGTATAAAAGGAGCTGCCGGAAGAGTGTAATTATTGTTAACAGAAGGTCGCAGAGATGGCGTTTCAGATGTCCTCATGATTCCACTAAATGGCGGCAACTTATTAGTATCTGGGTAAAAAGGATGGTATCAGTGAATAAAAGAAATTGAAAAATAAAAGACTGCCAAATCAAACGCTACTAGACTACAAAATCGTTATTAGGACTGGCCTATACTACTGTACCTTGTATAGCAGGGCTACACAGCGTCTGTATGTCTTCTTGAACGACAAACCGTCTCTGGATTCTTTCACGACGTTCAGTCGGCGGTCCAGTATAATTTGTAGTTGTAGGCCTATTGGTCAGGGCAGGAGAAAAGATCGAAGTGGCAGCAACATTACTTTTACCTTGAAATCCAGGTAGACCAATGCCATTGGACGACAGAAAAGCCGTTAGCTCCAATGTGTCTTCCAAAGATGAAAACCCTACAGCAGTTCCATCTTGTCGATTGATGTCACAGCTAGCTGAAACCTGGTCTTTGTGCCTGTTTACAGAAATTAACTGGTGTGATGTGCTACTATTATGTACTGGATACGGACTGTATCGACTTGACCTGACCTGATGACTTACTTGGCAATGTGCTATTATTGAAAAAAAAAAAAAAAAAAATTGTTTTATATTTAAAAAAAAAAAAAAAAAAAAAAAAAAAACTCGTTAAAATTATTTAGATTGTCCTCATGCACTCTCACAAACTTCACTCACTTCTTCACACAACCTTAGGAGTTATAAGTAAATTAATTAGTAGGATAATAATTATATTAATAATCATGATTATGATAAACGATGAATATATTTATTTATCATTGAAAAATCCTAAAATTAATAATAATATTAAAATAACAACATAAAATGATAAATTATTATTATTTATTGAAAATAGGCCTATTATTATTCATAATACTAATAGAGATATGCCTATAATCGGCCTAACATAACAAATAATAATAATAATAATAATAATAATAATAATAATAAAGAGTATAGGCCTATAAAAGGCTTTCAGATAGCCTACTTACTGTACTTACTTTGCAAATGTTGGTTCAATGGGGTTCTGTTTGAATTATTATTATTCAGATAATACGGATAAGGAGGATAACAAGTACTGTCATTGTCATCAGTCATCAGTAGCGAATAGATCGCCCCGTGTCGTGCGTGTTGGTTGATACCAATTAATGGTTGGTGGTATGCTTCGTACTCATCATAACTTCGTCGCTTTGTTGTGCTTGATCTGCGCACGTTACAGAGAAGATCTGATCTATTTCTGATAAAGAACGTGTGCTGAAAATAATGGATTTCTGCAGCTTCTCCTCCTGCGGACTTGGAGCATATGTTAGTTTTCCGAAATCCGTACAGGTTCAATTGACGGACGAAGCTAGTGAAATTCGTTGTCTTGAACACGCCATATTCGCCACCACTCAGCACCTCACTCTTGAATAAACCACTGTTGATGACGATACTGGTTCCTTCCGGGGACCATTGAATCGAGCGAAATAGATTGTTATTTACTAATCGCCAAAGTTTACCTGGAAATGTTGTCGAACTGACCGGGAAATCTGGAAGTTGATTTGGTACACGCATTGCTCCAATTCGAAGTCCGGCTTATTCGATTTTTCAACACTTAATTTCGCTTCCTGGGAAATCTGGTGTGTCCACTGGCTAAAATTCTGAGAGGAAGTGTGTCGAACAAAAAAATTCGTTTTAAAGAATACTTGTGTGCGCGTGCTTCTATTTCGATTGGTCAAGATGGTTTAGCGTGTTCACACGCGTGTAGTGCGCTTTTTTGTAAGCATCTTATCACGCGGACTGGCGTGAAAGCAAAGAAAGCTTACTACTTTCTTTTTGCTTTTTTATTGGCTGAAGACAGTAGAATAGGCCTACAATGTATAATATATAGTATTCTTACTATATTAAACTTTACTATTTTTACTATCTAGGCTGTACTATCTTCTATCACTATATATATTTTATTGAACTATTAAAAAAAATCCTTGTCATAAATGTTAAAGTTTTTTTTATGGTTTACTCTCGAACATTCAAGTTAACTCATCACTTCTGTATCAAGTATCAAGTATCATGTTAAAAGAAATTTTCTTTTAACATGATACTTGAGTCCATTTTTGTTTGTGCTCGGAAAATCCGAGAAAGTGCTAAGGTAGGAGAACCTATGTGAGTGGGGTCATTTAATAAAATGTGGAAGTAGGTCTACACAATTAATCGCCCCCACCCCCACTGCTTTCAACAGATTGACACTGGCCACCAGTTTAATAAGCATGAATACCCGGCCCCTAAACTACAGAATGCTCTACCGATTGAAATCAGAAAGCAGCGTTGATGTTTTTGAAAATCTTTTAAAAACTCATCTTTATATTATTGATTTTAATTGATACCTTTACTGACTTTGATTGCTGGCGATCGATTTTAAATTGCGTGTGTGAGGTTTTTTATTATTATTATTTTGCTTTTAAATGTTTTGTTTGTTTTTTAAATCTAGTATTTTATTTTATATATTTGGTAACTGTCATATCAAAAAGAAATTTCATCGATCTGTTTAAACGGATAAAATTTGATCGCGGCAAAATACATTAATAGTTGTGGATGTGGTTGATAAATTAATATTTTCGTAGAAAAAATAATTTAGGCCACCTCACTAAATGACTATTCAAAGTGATAAAAAGAAACTATTTCTGTGCCATGACATGATGAGCTTTTGAATTTGTATGCTCTTTTTTGTTATCTAATTTACATATGGGTACTGAGTGAACATCTGGACCTGGGAGTTTCAGGGGGTAGAACAATTTAATTAGCTGCTAGAGTTCCTATGTTAAAGTCAGACTCCGGAGGAAAAAACATTTTTGATATGTTGTAGAACTGATTTTTCTAAGACAGAAAAAAGTTGTTTGACGAAAAACTGGGGAACGGTGAACGAGATACAGATTTTTTAATATTTAAAAACTGGGGGGAAAAGGGGCGTAACCGCCCACTTTTACACCTTTATCTCAATAATACCTCCATGCTTTCACTAACAGTACTACTTATATAGGGCGCCATCTATGTTTCAACACGATTAATCACTATCTAAACAAGTATGGCTGCTGCTTGAGAAGAGTCAAGATTATTATTTATATTATGGTTGAATTAGGAATGGTTTGTTCTACTGATGTCAATATTAAATATGACAGTAAGAGAAATCAATTACTAATATGCGTAGTGTAGATTTCGTCGTGTTTATTCAAGTAGACAGAGAGCTACGGTCCGTAGGACAAAACCCAACAGCTTGGCCTAGCGTCTACTCTACTACTACTACTAGGCCTACTACTACTGAGAGGTTAGGCTCCACTAACTAAGGAGGTTAGGCTCCACTAAGGAGACTGGCCGCTCTGAGGCATTGACAGTGGGTAGGCATTTGCTTAGCTTAAACTTAAAAGGCTAGGCTTGCCGGCGCTAATAATAGTAATACGGTTTCGCATCCAGTCCTAAAATCATTTACTAGATTTTTTAACACTTACAATTATTCAATACTAGGGCCTAGGCCTAATAATAATACATTCCTTGATGATTTTACTTTCCTATAATCCACTTATTATTATCCAACGATTATAGTTTCTAATTAAGTTAATTTACCATTAGGACGGTTAACTTCTTCGCGGTGCACCACCTGACACTCCCGGCTTGTAGTACATGTCAACAATCCAGAATCAGGGAAAAATTATACCAGGGTAGCCATTAGATGTGCGCTGAGTTTAAGCGCGCCTAGGCCTAAGTGGAAATAGTATGAATGTCACTTAAAATGTTATTCTACTTTTCACTTTTATTTTATCTTCATTCATCAAGAAAAATACATAATACAAAAAGACGAACTACAAAACAATACAGTTTCCAGATATCCTAATGCAGCGAAATAATTAGTCACAACAGTATCTTACTCCTCATCATCATGACAGAAATGAGAAAGATTCTATCCTTACAGTTAGGAAAACAACGTGTTGTATAAACAAAATGGTGACGTAATTTTCGTCACGAAAACCGATTTTCGGAAAATAAAAAATGCAGTTGCAATGCGAGCAGGCTGTCTAGTACTCATTAAAAAAGCGGTTTAAAAAAATTGATTATTTTGTGTTTTTCAGTAGAAACACACCCTTACACCCTGCGAAGGCCGAAGTAGAAAGAGAAAGGCCTGCATTACATTATCTGTAGGCCAAATCAAAACAGTCCCTCCCTTATCGATTAAAAAAAAGCAATGCTCTATTGTTCCGATTAAAAAAAAAAACACCTCGCCCTCATCAATTTAGAAAAAAAGAGTGATAAATCAATAATTTGATTTGTGCCCTAATAACTGTTTTATTTAAAATCAATTTTCCGTTGTTGATTCCTTATGTCCAGTCTCTAAAGGCTTATTTTTGTAGTAAAGTTTAATTACTGTACTGTACACATGCCTAGATTCTGCTACAGTAAGCTGCTTTAAAAATTTATTTATGCAAGTCTCTTAACTGACTTTACAATTCCAGTAAATTTCAAGTTTGAATATCAAGCACAGTTTTATAATAAATAGTAGTAATATTACTTAGCTCACTGTAGCTGCTATTCAAGAATTTTTATTTTTGGCACATCAATTAAAAGAGTAGGTGATTAGTATAACACCAAACTTAATTTTGTAATTAATTAATGCAATAGGTTTTTTTAATGGCTATGGATTCCGAGTTTGTGATAGATTTTAGTATTATTTTTTTTTTGTAATTAACAGTTATTGTTGATTTTTGATTGATATATACCATACATGATAGTCTGCTGGAGATGATAGTTAAACATGGTTCACCAGCTCAAAATTACACCCTTTGTCTGCTTAATGGATCTAGGGTGTTTGGTCATGGAAGCAGAGGCCTTTCTTCGTATTCATTCAATTAAAATCCTTGGGCTATACTTTAAGAATTTAAGCACTGAATACAAAAAAGAATAAGAAAATAATATAACATATGCAAGGATGTCTGAAACATCGTCAGATTCTAGCGAAAATAACAAGAGAAAAGTTGGAAGGACAAAAGATACAAATGTTAGAATCTGATTGGTTGTTCATAAGAACGAGGTCAGTTTGCTAAACATTAACGCCCACGATCCGTTAACAGATCCTGAGCGGCTTATCCTGATAGGCCTATTTCGATTGGGCGTTCTCACATGCAGTGCTAACAGTTAAGCTAACTGCTAGCTTCCTATCACTCTAAATGCTTTAGTTTGAACCAGGACTATATGAAATATAGGTTGTGACAGGTAGTTCAGATGGATAACCTAGTTATGTTAATACATGCTGAGTTACCTTTACTGATATTAGGCTTGTTTATCTCAGGCTATGTTCACACACATGGCGTAAGGCTGGCTTAAGCCTGGCGTAGCGTACGCCTTTGTGTGTGAACTAGGCAGTGGGCACTCACTATGCCACGTCCATGGTGTTATCAACGCTACCTGCAGACCCCAGATTAGCTAATGCCGTGGAGCTAACGCCAGTAATGCTTGCATGATTTTGACCTCAGGTCAAGAGATTGACCGATCATGATTAGTTTGCAATAAATAAACAAATCAGCTAGCCTAGCTCTGCTAAAACCGAAAGCACACAAACAGTTCACTGTGTTTTTCTTCGAGGGATTTTATTTTGAGAGTGTAGGCCTATTGTTTGGATAAGAAAATCATACAGGACGTTGGCTCCTGCTCGTTCCTCTTGGACTACATGCCAAAGAAGATCCATCCTCAGTTGCTGACGGCGAATTGACTTGATATTCTTGACCAAAATCAAGCAAACAAGCACGGTTTCCGTGTCTAGGCCTACAATATTTAACACTTTCTTCAACAAAAAGAAATAAAAATGGCAAAAGCGAAGATAGTAAAATGTTAGGCAACATAATCGATCGAAACAGCGTGTACAACAACCATGGAAGTATAAATAATAAGTCTTCCCATTACTAGTCTTCCCATCATCATGTACCGGAGAAAGCTGCTGACGCACATTCCTGTTTTAAACGCCAGGCGTTCATAGCGAACGCCGTTCGTATGAACAACTTGGAATTTTAATCCGTGGATTAGCTTACGCCTTGCATAAGCCACGCCAGCCTTACGCCGTGTCTGTGAACATAAGACACGGCGTAGTGATAGGACCACTGCAGCTTAAGGTTACGTTCACACTAGAGCCCTAGCATCCAGATTGGGAGCTAACAAGTTAGCACTAACCATTAGCACTAGTGTGACAATGCCCGATCAGTTAGCACTAATCGCGGGATCTGGATACACTAACGGTTAGCAAGCACTATCGGGTAGCAAGTTGAGCACGTTTCTATCAATAACCTATCACACGTACGCATTTCAAATTGGCCAGTGATCCCACTGTCATTATCTGGGTCTGGATTTTCTTTTATGAACGCAAGGGTGAGCATATACTGTATGTTATTTATCTGAACCCTGCTAACCTTTAGATTGTGTGTGTGAAGTAGTCTACCTCAACTCTTTAATTCAACAAACAATGTTATATGCATGGAGTATTATTTACTATCGAAGATAAGAGTAATTTTCTTTCTTTCTTTCCAGCTGGCAGATTAGAATGGCTGCCCTGTGGCTCCAATTTTGACAGCATTAATGTGTAGGTACTGTTCAGGTATGTCACATTGTTTTCAAAAAATGTTTTATTATTATTACAGTAGAACCTCGATTTTACGTACGGTATGGGACCGGAAGGAGGTAGGGGACTGGAGGGCGTACGTAAAACAGGGGATTCATAAAATTGAGGTTGGGTTAAATTTGCGGTGACCTTTGAGCTGTGCTGCTCTGAGCAAGCCGACCAATTAGCGTTCGTGTACGTGAAACAGCAACCATGTGCACTGCACTGGGCGAGCCAACCAATTAGTGTTCGTGTACGAAATTATGCCTACTCAGCTTCATTTAGAAAATTCGACCAGAGTTTTCCACACGAAGCTAAGGAGGAAAGCAATAATTTTGAGCACCATTTGTAGTTGTTCATCTCACTCAGTTCACGTGGTTATAGATTATAACAACCCGGTATTAGACTCAATCAACATTGCTGTTTAATGAAAATACGTTGCATATGGTTTGTTTATTGTTAAAGTTTATTGTTATATAATCTTTTTATTTATGGTTACTCTGAAAAGGGCTGTTTGTTTTGAATATTTTAGGGGTTTTTGATGAAGTCATCGTTGATATGAGGAGTACGTAAAACCGAGGGTTCGTATAACTGGGGTATGTAAAAACGAGGTTCTACTGTATTCACAATTTCTAAAGCTACTTTATGTAGGACATCATTTAAAACATACAATTATTTTTATTATTTAAGTGTGATATTGACAGCTGTTTAAATGTTATCTATTTTGTACATTTTTCTTGTTACTTTTACCATCAGTTTAATTTTATCAAGTGTCATAATTTACAGATAAGTTAAAATCAAGATTATGTGTAAAATGATTGTATAAAAAAAGTTAAGATATTAATTTTTTTTCAGGAATTTGAAGTCAAGATAACAAAAATGTCCTTTGAGAGCTGTTCTAAGAAGCGTTCATTAGAGGATGATATTGACCAAAAGTCAAAACCAGCCATTGATGATTTTTGCAGGAAAAAGTTCAAGCCAATTGCTCCAAAACCCACCCTGAAAAAAGACCAACACCAAGCGGTAGTTTTAACAACTCTTCCTGTTAAAAGTTCTTATCTTGAAGATAATGACAGCTGCAAGATGAAATGTATTGCAACATCTGAATCTGAAAAACAGATGGTTCTTATGTCACCACCACACATGCATGTAATGTCAAATCTTCCAGTCATGTTACATACTCCAACATTGGTTGCCATGAACAGTTGCAGTCCGATGCCTGTTCTTGCAAACTATTCATTTGTTATTCCTGTTGGATGTGGACATTGTAACTGCGGGAAGTCGACACCACAGCAAGTTACTGCGCAGGTTCTTTGCACAAGCTCACCTAAAAACTCTTGCTCACAATGTGTTGATGAGCATTGTTGTAATAAAAATTTAGAGAAAGACAGATGCAAATCATGTGACAGTAACTCTGGTGAAAGATTTATTTCTTCTTCCAGTAAGAAATCATCAGAAAATGCAGTAAACTGTTGCAGTAAGAAAGAAAAATCTGCTCAAGTACCTATTCTACCATTAAATGCAAGTCTTCCATCCAACTTAAATGAGATTTTAAAACTCAGACCAGAGAAATATAAATACAGTATGTTGCTGAATAATCCAGGAACATATAATCAATTTGCTGAAAAGACTTCGAGGCAAACTAACAACATTCAGTTGAACAGTCAGTTTCCACCTGCTACCACAAGTTGTGGATTTTCATTGACTACCCACCAGACACCATCCCCCATCAACGTCGTGTCATGTTCATTAACAGGACCTACTAAACATACACAGAAAAATTCACAGGAATCAAACAGTAGTACACATTCCAGGAGCTTAGTTCTTCCGACTACTACTCCGTCCTCCCAAAGAACATTGGTGCCCTCGCATATTTCTGTAGTTTCATCAGCCAATACTTGTCCTAATTCCACCAAAGAACTTATTCATCAATCTCACCAAAGGTTTATAAATTCTAGAGCAGTAGAACCAATCATCAATTCTAGAACTACAAATTTAGTATCCCCTATGTCAGTTGAAAAAGACAATCAAAGTGAAGGCAATAGAAGAATACTTAATCCATTGGATTCACACAATTCTCAAAGAATATCATACACTGATAATTCTAGATATATTTCTTTTGATAGAAACACAACAATGATACCTTCAAATAATAGTAGCTCAACAGAATCGTCATCAGCATCTGTCAGTCATTCTGGATTGTCTTCTGTTGTGGTAAACACAAGAAAAAATTGCAGTAAAACTAGAAAAAATATGAACTCTGAACAAAGACCATTATCCAAAGATGCTGCAACACGGGCTGAAAATAGGAAAAACACATCTCTATCAGTTGAATCTGTGTCTGTGTCATCGAGAACAACTTCACAAGCTCAAACTCTGCTTCTGAATGAAAATGCAAATGTACCAGTACTGCAACAGTCAAAAAAGTCCACTACTAGAACTATACAATCTTCAGTTATGGATAACTCAAATTCCAGGTTGACAGCAACATGTCAAAGATCAAAAGGTAGCCATGCTAATCTTCCACTTCAAACTCCTGAACGTTTGCACCATCAACTGCAGCATAACTCAAGAAAAGCCTGTGAAATTAGGCCTGTAGCTCATCAAATGTCTATGCTTCAAAAGAACAGTGTTGCACCTAAAACGTCTCAGTGCAGTAGGATGTGTAATGTTCCATCACAACCATCAATTAATTCTCTCAACCAACCATCTGTTGTACCACTGACTGAAAATGGAATAAGTAGAGGTCACATTCCATTCCATAACACTGCTGTCATCACATCTAATACTTTGTCAAATGTAACACATACAACCAATTTAGTTAGTGAACGACGTCATGTGGCAAGTACGGTGACAAGTTCAGCGATTGTTTCTCAAAGCAGACAGACTGAAAACACAGTCGGCAGAGAAGTTCCTAGTGCAAACTTTCAAGCAAGGTCTCATAATGTTAATACCTCATCTGAAAAAGAAAAGTCAGATTCTACTGTGCCAAGTAGACGTAGGTCAGAAGAAAGAAATGAGATAAGGACCAGTGGACCTGTCACTAAGCAGGCAATTAGTAATTTGCCAGAAAGATCAAGTCAAGCTGGAACAGCTCAGAGTTTACATAAGCAAAATCTATCTTGCCAGCATAGCAATATTGGGCCAACAGAAAGAGGAGCTAGGGCATTTTCAAATGAACCTCAAAGAGAGCAGAATGAAAGAGATTCATCTTCTATACGGTCAAGAAGAGAGTGGCATCAAATGATTCCACAAATACATGCCAGTGATGCACCAAGAGTTGCAACTAGCTGTCATAGGGATGCCTCAGCAAACATTCATCAGAATAGTGATTCGAGGACAGCATCATCATGGACACATTTTACTAGACATCAAAATCACATGAGCCGAGATCAACCTCCTAGTGAAGCCATACAGCAGACATCTAATCTTCCAAGCGAGATTGTGTCAAGGCAATCTGTTGTCGATTCTGATGCAGTACTTCCATCAACTGTACAGTCAGACTCAAGGGTAATACAGACAGTTCCTTTGATTAGCAATGTACCTGCACCATCAAGACATCCATCTAATAGTGCAATATCAAGAAAACAAAGACAGCGATGTTGTGTATCAAGGCAGGATTCAAATATATTGTCAAGTGAAACATTACTAACTTTTCAACATGGTCCAGTAGAACACAATCAATCACTAAGCACATCGTGCAGCTCATCAGGAGCACATAAAACACCTAACCGAGTTGCTGCTGTTAGGGAGCAAAACATGGTCACTCCTCTGGTAGATGAAAGACTTGCGCACAATATCTTGGAACACAGACATTCGCAGGGCTCAGAACACCGATTGAGTCAAGCTTCTGTTACAGACCACACCTTTCCACATCAATCTCATAACCCTGTTGCTCGACCTATGTTATACAATTTTCCACATATGCTCAACAGCCAAAGTGATGCTCAACATAGGTTATCAATTCCAGGAGGAATTGGTCGGCATTCTCTTACAAATCACCATATGAATCATCTACAGGAATGCAATTTGTCTACATCCCCACACAGCAATCAACATACACCTCTTCATCAATCAAGTTCTAGACATCTGTTGGTACCACCTCCTCCATTTGGTCCTATGCATCGTTCTATGTTCATGACTCCTAGCCCTCATCCACCTGATGTAAACTTGATGTCGCCTAGAAGTTTTTCAAGCACACACATGCATGATGACTTGCTGTACAGTCCTAATATTCCAAGACTTCCTTCAAATCCTGGTTATCCAGACCGACTTCACACATCTTATCCTGTACATTATCTTCCAGAAGATCGTATTGATTCTTGTTGCAGTGGAAGCCTCAGAACATCACATTCTCCAACCACAAACAATTTTTCATCACCTTGGATTTTATCATCTCCTTCAAGAACTCCAGCTCCATCTTTTCTTCCATCATTTCCAAGACACAATAGCTTAAATAGTCTTCCATCATCACAAGATCTCTATGGTTTTGGCAGCTCTGTTAATATGAGTAACCTTGCAACACAGCACCACATGCCTGGCTGCCTTTCAGAAATAAATGCCCAGCATCATGTTGAACCTCTACAGATACAGACAGATATCAATTCCCAAGCTGAAAGAGATGCCACTGGATCATCACAACTATCTCCAATTGTTACGCCACCACCAGCTTCGGAGACATTAAGCAGGAAACCACTTAGAAATAACTCATCTGAACCATCAATGAGTCTTCCTTTACGCAACTCAGCTTCTGAGTGTATTGCAAGTCATCCTGTGCAAAGGAACCTGATGGAAAATTCTGTAAATCAAATTCTTACCAGGAACTCGTTAGGTGAAAACCAGATTAGTCGACAGTCAAGACAATCAATAAGAAGCACCTCTTCAGAGACTCCTGGTCAGCAACCACCATCCAGGAGGACTTCATCGGAACAATGTATTTCCCAAACTCCAATTACAACTTCCACATCGAATACTCAAAGAAACACAACATTACACAATTCGTCATCATTGCTAACTGCTGCAACGTCGGGTAACAATAGTGGAAGGAGAACAACCACTGTACAAAACTCAGTTCAACAACAACCAAATGGTTCCCTGGCACAACAGCCGAATCAAACAACCTCAGTATCTGACACTGCCTCTCAGATCATGACACCATCACCATCCCCACAAAGGACGAACAATAAATATTTACCAATTGATGAAATTTGTAGCAACCCTTCAACCTCGCTGGCATCATTAGTGGCACCAAGTCCTACACAGAGCTTGTCAGATCAACCTGTCAAATTCAATGGTGTCACCCTTCAGTGTAGTCGGCAGATTCTCTGTGAGTCAGGAAGGACTGTATTATGTTGTTGGCATTGTGATTTCCACACAGCAGAACCCAAAAAGATGCATCGACATCAACGAAGGGAAGAAAAACAGATGCGGTGTCAGCTTTGTAGCTTCACAAGCAACTCAAGATGCAAAGTTGATCAACACTTCAAAGATAATCACTTGGACAAAGATGATCCTTTTACATCAGCAGTATCTTAACCATCACATCATGTAAGTCTTTCAAATTAGTTACTCTCTCTTCCATTAAATATAAAAAATATGTTGCTCATGTTAGCAGTGAGCTAAAGCCAGTCTGTGATTTCACTTTGAAAACACTTTGTAATTTTCCACCATTGAATAAGAAAAATGGTGGTTATTAGATATTTTTTGCAGATATTTGAGACAGTTAAATATTCCTAAAAATTGCATGCATTGTAAAATCCTAATTATACTTTTAATAAGGTCCAATACCAGGCCCGTAACCAGCTTTCATAATGAAGAGGATCTTTTTAAATCTGACTGGAACTTTTGGGGTCCACGTATTCTCTCGAAAAATGTTGAAAACCATGACCGCCACATTTAATTCAAAATGCTCTTCTGGTGTGTTTGAGCTGATTCAAAGGAATTACAATTTTCGTGAATTAAAACTGAATCGATTTCATATGAAATGTGCAAATATTGAAGAATCGGCAGTAGGATATACCATGTAATATTGTTAGTATATCAAATGTAGTAGTCTACAGATTTAATCATATCATATATATCATCATCATCTTCCTGTACTGTGCAGAAAGTCTTTGGAGTATAGTTGCACATAAAAACTACAGTGCATGTCATAGTTGCATAGTGCATGTCTATTAAACTAATTATGTTGGCTAATTATCATTTAGACCTAAGTATTGAAGGCAATTTAAGTACAATAATACTCTTAGTTTCAAATTTCGATGAGTATAACCAAATTATAAACCATTTATGCACAATAGCAACCTTTATTATTTATAAAACATGGTTATTAGCTGACACAACATATGAGAAAACCAAACCGATTATATACTGTTAAACCCCTATTAAGGGACACCCTCGGGACCCAAAAATGTGTCCACTTAATAGGTGAAATTGTCCCTTTAATTATCCCCTTAATAGGGGTTTTTGGCATGGTTTCGTACATTTTTTATTTCTTAACCATATTTATAGAGGGTGACCCTTCCAGCATCTCCTACAAGGTCAGCTGATACTTTATCTTTAAATAAAGTGGAGTGGAGTTGTTTTTGTCGTGAGAAAAAGTCCAGTCATGACAGGAATTGAACCCCGGACTTTGGGATCAGAGGAAAGCACCTTAACCACTGAGCTATTCAACTCCACTCCAATGATGATGACATAGATTCAATGATAACATAGATGTTTGAAAAAAAAAATGCATGCATTGATTCAGTGATGACGTACATAAATTCTTTGTAATTATAATTTAATTGGCCTAAAAATGAGTTACAGTTGATTTACTACTAATTTATAACAATAATTTGCAATGCAAAAACAACAATGTGAAATGTTATTAAAACAACAAAAGTTGTACATATTCCCGATATTTTTCCATGATTTGAGTGCATTAACTAAGTACAGTATTATTTTTTAAAATTGAGCTTTCTATTGGATGTACAAAATAGAATAGTGTAAATAGAGTAACAACTTAGAATCAGGATGCAGGCTGTACAGTATATATACACTAAACAAGAAATCCACGTTAATGGATAATGGTCAAAATTAAAAGATTGTATTTATACCACTCCCTATCGGATTAGTGATTATAGTATAGAAGTGCATAAATCACACTTATAAAGTTGTTTTGTGTTGGTCTAGTAGTAGAGCGGAACTCCCTATTCTGTGGGGAGGGGGATCGTCCAATCCCTCCGATACCCCCTGGTTACGGGCCTGAATACTACTGTACATGTTTGAATACCGTAATAGTAAGTAGCCAATATTGATTCTTCCTACAATTTTCTTCTTTTCCAGGATGTTTGTTTTATGGATATGAGTGAATCACAGAAAAATAATATCCCTATACACTGTTCAAGAAAGGGCTGAGCACACAAAGTACAACAGATTACAAAAACTATTTCTATGGTACTAAATTTGCAGATAGGTAATTAAATGTTTTTCATGAGATTTAGAATTTCATGGTTTACTAAAATAATGTTCTGTGTTCTTGTAATATCTATTTATTAGTGCATTAAAAAATATTGATATAAATACATTTTGAAGATGGGTGCACCTACTGTCAAAAAGTGTTTGTTTAGAATAAATTTAATGATTTAATGATTAATGGTGTTTTTTACTTCAACCAAAACACATTTGTTTGACATTTGAACAAACCATCAGAAAGATCAGTAGCCAATCCATGAATTTGAAATAGATTAAGTGTTTTCAGCCCCATCATGGTTGGGGCTTAAGTACAAATTTTGATGGGTATAGCACCTATAGATGGCTGGAAATGGCACGCTCCCGACTTTGAATGCAATTGTCTCTCTTTTCCCCATTTTTTTAAGGCAAGGGAAAGTTCCCCTACCCCCTTTCTTGAATTCGCTCCTGAGAATTGGGTAGAAGTTCAATAATTTGATCCATAATTGTTTCATGTATTATTGTATGAAATTGTGTTTTGTATATATTTTGTAGACTGACATACTGTCAAATGCCACCTATCAAGTTGAATGGTTTCGCTTTTCTTTCAACCAAGTTGATAGCCAATTTAAAAAAAAAACCTTTTTTTAGGATTTGAAGTGTTAATCTCCTGAAAATTGTAAGTTGATGATGATCTGGTTAAATAAATTTAGATATTTGATAACCTATGAAGATTTGTTTTAACTTTTACAGTGATATTAATGTTGTCGAATGGCTTAACAATTTTAAATCATTTTTATTCTTTTGTGCAATAATCAAAATCAAAAACTAATTATTTATCTAGTATAATTGGATTGCATGGTTAATAAAATAGTTGTTGAAAATTCAAAATGTAAATTATTGAATTTGAGAAGTTTATCAGTAGCATCAACATAATATATAAATGATTCCACTGCTTTTCTTGGTCTTTTGCTTTAGTTTTGTTATTTTTCATAAATTTTGAGTTAGTGTAAAGTTAAAATGATAAATTGGGATGACAAAGATTTTATTACAGTAAATACAAAAATAGGGTGGAAATGTACAGTACTGTACATACATCATATAGTGTTTAGGGAAATCGGTAGGTACTTTTATTTTTCTATACTAAATGATAATTTGAATCTGTCATTCACTCCAAATTTCTTAATGTGACTTGTCACACGATCATAACACTGTCCTGTCACCAGTAGAGTCTCACTATGTAAGCGGATGCTTGTGGGAGGTGGCCCATCATATTTATATTCCACTGACATGACTATCCATACATTTCGCTATCTACTTAATTGTTTATATTGACTTCTTGTAATGCAAATTTTGCCAACAAAAATGTGTTAAGTAATTGTTTTTTATAAGTTATGAGGGTCTTTTAGAAAATACCATACACATAAATAAGTGGTAGTAATCTTATATTTTTGCCGTGTTTTTAACAATGCTTGACTCACAATTTGGTAGCTTGTTTTCTACACTTTCATACTTGATATATGTTGAAATTTTAGTTTATACCAAATTTATATTAGTTACCACCAAATGCATTTATTTAAACAGTTGAAAATTCTTGTTGATGATCTATTAAGGAGTCTCCGAATATGCCTATGAAGTGCATTATATACTTGTAAAGTATGTTCATGTTTCATTCAGCAAAGGGATTCAAGAACAAGAAAAGTTGGCATGTCTTTGAAACCCATGCTTTGCAAATAATTAGATTGTCAAATGCTTTATGAAGTCTGTTTGCTCATATTAACGACAACTTCTTGATAATGGTGTCATTTGTGATTGATGAAATACGGGTGATTTTAAATGTAAATCTAAGATGTAACTATGCAATTATATTTTGAAGGAAAATTGTAGAATACAGTATTTATGTCGTCAATTATTTTTTTTTTTTATTTCCACTCCTGTTCTTCAACAACAGAAAAAATAACCACTTCAAAAGCTGGGGACAGGCAGTAATTGTAAACATTAAAGACCATTGTCCCACTGCATTATGGAATTTATAAATGAGTTAATATAACCAAGGCCCGACTCGGGTTCAGTTCTCACTTTATTAAGGTATAAGCTTTACCTAAGGTATAGGTCTTATTCTAAAAATAAAAGTAAAAAAGGCGGTTCATAAAACGGGGAATATCCATATCGTGGGATGGTACGGAAGCGTATTGTTGCCAACTAAAAAAAATGAAAATTCAGACATTATCTCGTATGTACGAGATAATATCCCGTTATAACGAGATAACCATCTCGTAATAACGAGATAATATCTCGTAATTACTAGATATTATCTCGTTATTACGAGATAATGTCCGAATTTTAGTTTTTATAGTATAGCAATACGCTTCCGAACGGTACATTATAGAAGGTTTGTTTTTGTAGATTAAACAATGAAAGCAAAACTAAAAAATAAAATATTGGAAGAGAATTCCAGAACATAGAGAAACACAATTATATATTAGTAGTAGATTAATATGGTTTGATGCATATGATATAACTTATCACTGTATGTTCCATAATTTTTTAATATAAACGTATGCTTTATGATTTCAACTTCAAAATTATAGCAACTTTATCTTGTTTACTGATATGAACATATTGGTGTTTTATATTATATTATCCGCTATTACATCTAAAGGTAAGTGACTTTTGTGTTTACGAGGTACTGTGCTTTTTTGTTATTAGGTGATTATGAAATTAACCATTTAAAAAATTCGGGTTGATTAGAGGAAATTCTGTGAGATTCAAAGATGAGAGTCTGGTTATATACAATATAAACATTAATGGATTTCGTTTTTATTTGCTATTAATATATGAAGCTGAGAATAAAACATTAACCTTTAGACTGTCCATCTATCCATTTGCAGATGAATGCATTTATCTCGATTTTCACAAAGGATTACTTTCAAATAATATATTATGCAATATTTTTCCTTTAGCATATGGCGATCAAAACAAGTTGTGGGGGATTGAAGGAAATCGAATAAAACTCTCAGCACCCCCATACGTGCTTAAAGTAACAAGTGTAGAGTCACTGAACTGGTTCTATGGTAATGGTACGAACGCAAACAATATCATCGTTACTCTGGTAAATCCCAATAAAGATCCATTTTGTATTGACGTCACTGAGCAAAGCTACGGAGATTTGATTATAGAACATGTGAACAGAACATATTCAGGATATTACACCTGTCAGGTTGTTGAGAAAGATGCATTTACATCATTGGTATCGACTTATTATTTAGTTGTATATTGTGAGTAGATTATTTTGCACATCCTACTTAGACAATCAAGATAACTTTATTCTTTACCGAAAAAGGGTTGTTGAGAAGAATGTAGGCCTATCCATATATTAGGTATCAATTTCATTTTGTAAATTTATAGGTTATTGGTTGCATCATCATACAGTATTTCTTTTCACTATATATTTATTGTCTCAAAATGAAGAGAATATCAGGACGATAAGGACTTTAGGCTTAGGCCTATTCTGATTCTTAAAAAATAAATAACAATGACTTGTATATTTACGATTTTCAATTGTTTTCTGTTAAAGATATGGATTCTCCTACTATATCAACAAATTGGAGTACTGAAAACAGCCACGCTACTTTCTTCTGCGTTTGGTCTAGAACCAATCCAGATAAACCGATTGTAAAATGGTTCATTGATGGCCGTGAACTCAAATCTACAAAAAATAAAATAATGTTTGAAGAAGAACGGAAAGCAACACTTGTTATTCTTAAAATATCTGGAAAAGATTTAGGGAATTACACTTGCAGTATTACTGTAAATACAAATAAGGGTGTTATGAGTAAGATTTCCAAAGGATTAGTCCTACATGTAACCGGTAGGTGTTTATTATGATATACTTTATTCTATACCGAAAAAGGGTTGTTAAAAAGAAGAGGAATCTGCGAGTGCGAAAAAGTTATCCCGACCGGGATTCGAACCCGGGACCTTTTGCTGTCTATGAAGACGCCTTAAGCAACTGGGCCTTTGAGGCTGTATTGGGAATTTTATTTGAATAAATAAATAATAAATTATATAATAACTTTTATTCTTGTATTTAAACGACAATCTAGTTTTGATATACCGTATGCACCGCAGGTAATCCAAACCTTTTTTGTGCAGTTACCTCTCATGTGAAGGCGACTGCCTCTTTCGTTTCCACTTGTTTTTAATGATGAGCTTATAAATATCGTGAAAGTTACCCTCAATGATTTAGTTAGCGGAACTGCGCGTATGGGGTTTTTGCTAGAGAGCTGTGCTTATTACAAATCAGTGTAGTGTTAAAATATACACTGTATTGTAGGCCTACAGAAGGTTTAATATTGTTACAATGTTAGTATTATTATAGGGTCGTGATGATCAGGGGCGGCACTAGTGGGGGTCCAGGGGGCAAGGGACTCCGCGTCGGGGACCTCTGGACCCCCACTTGGACCATCTGTCGGGTAATTTTCAGCAAGGTCGTCGGGGAAAAATCAAATCTCGAATGCCAAAAGTACAATTCAAGCATGTCTTACTAAGATGTCAACATTTTATGGATTAACTGTTTAGTGCGAGCAGTGCTATCG